TACCACAGTCTGTTTAACCATTAATATTCCACGGTATGGACGTACCACAGTCTGTTTCACCATTAACCCACTGAAGGACATGTAGGTTATTTCCAGTTTGGGGCTGTGAATTCACATGCAGCTCTTGTGTGAACACAGTTTCCATCTCTCTGGGGTAAATGCCCGAGAGGGCACGCGCTGGCTTATATGGTGATTGCATGTTTAGTTTCATGAGAAACAGCCATTTTCTTTCCTGAACATCTGTAATAGTTCACATTCCTACCAAGAATGTAGGAGTGATCCAGTTTCTCAGCATCCTCAGCAGCATCATGTGTTACTAATTTCTTTTTCATTTTAGCCATGCTGATAGGTGTAAAGTGGTATCTCAGTGTGGTTTGAATTTGTGTTTCCTTAACTGCGAATCATGTTGAACATCTTCTCATGTGCTTCTTTGCCATCTATTCCCTCTTCATTGAAATGTCTGTTCATGTCTTTTGCCCATTTTCTGATTGTCTGTGTTTTACTGTTGAGTTTTCAGCATTCTTTATATACTCTAGACCCAAGTCCTTTATTGGATGTGTGGTTTGCAAACATTTTCTCTCAGTCTGTAGTTTGTCTTTTCATCCCCTTCATAGGGTCTTTCACAGAGCAAAAGTTTTTCATTGGATGAGGTTCATTTGATCAATTTTTCCTTTTGTGAATTATGCTTTTGATGCCAAGTCTAAGAACTATTTGCCTAGCTGTAGATCTCAAAGATTTTCTCTGAGGCTTTTTTTTTTTTTAAGTTTTATGATTTTACACTTTATATTTAAGTCAGTGATCCATTTTGAGTTAATTTTCATAAGGTGTGAGACTTTAGCTGAGTTTATCTAATTGCCTCTGGATGCCCAGTTATTCCAGCACTGTTTGTTGAAAAGGCTCTGGCCTCCATTGAATTGTTTTTGCACCTTGTCAAAAATCTGTTGGGCATATTTGTGTGGCTCATTTCTGGGTTCTCTATTCTGTTCCATTTATCCACGTGTCTCTCTCTCCACCAATAGCAGGTGGTATTGATTATTGTAGCTATAAACCACTGGGAGGACTGCAATTTTTCCATTGACCGATGTAGAGTGGGTATTGCCAAAAAGGTTTTCTGTTGTTAGATCCCCCTCTCCCTGGTCCTTTGGCTGAGGGCTTTCCTTAGGGCTTTTTCTGTGTGTGCCTGTTGGCGGTTCAGGCTGGAGGTTTCTGCAGGCTTCTTCCCTCTCCAGAATATCTATATAGAAGGCAACAGGAACGCCAGGGAGCTTATCGCCCAGAGTTCCTCGAATCCTGAGGTGCCGAGGCAGCCCATCCTCTTTCTGCCTTTCAGAGTCTGTCTATGCCTGTTTGTTGTGTTACGTCCGGGGTTTTTAGCAGTAAGAGGGAACACCTGAGAGGAATGTGGCTTTTCCACCTCAGTGGGATTGGAAATTCTTATTCTTTTTTTAATTAAAACACAGAATTGTGATCATACGCTATACATAATTTTATATCATTCTACTTAACGTATAAGTTTTTAATTTCTGCTATAAACTCTTTTGTAAGTATAATTTTGTTGTTGTTGTTAGCTGTTGATTTGTTTCTGACTCATGGTGACCCCCTGTGTGCAGAGTAGAACTGCTCCGCAGGGTTTTCAAGGTTATGACCTTTCTGAAGCAGACAGCCAGGCCTGTCTCCCAAGGTGCCTCTGGGTGGGTTTGAACTGCCAACCTTTTGGCTAACACTCAAGCGCTTAACCATTTGTACCACCCAGGGTCGCCAAGGCTACATAACTCTCCTCTGAGCAGCCAGAATATAATTTACATAATCATTTTCTTATGATTAAAAATTTAGAGTCCACAACTTATACAAGGAAAGGTCATGGAAGCTCCATAGACACTTCCACACTCCCTGAGGGACTGAATTGCGGGGTGGAGGGCTGTGGGGACCACAGTCACAGGAACATCTAGCTCAACTGGCATAACACAGTTTATAAAGACAATGTTCTACATTCTACCTCGGTGAGCAGCATCTGGGGTCTTAAAAGCCTATGAGCAGCCATCTAAGATACTCCACTGGTTTCACCCCTTCGGGAGCAAGGGAGAATGAAGAGAACAAGACACAAGGAAAAGATTAGTCCAAAGGACTAATGGACCACAGCTACCAAGGCCTCCACCAGACTGAGTCCAGTACAGCTAGATGGTGCCTGGCTACCACCACTGACTGCTCTGACCAGGATCACAATATAGGGTCCAGGACAGAGCTGGAAAAGGATGTAGAACAGAATTCTAGCTCACAAAAAAAAAAGACAAGATTTACTGGCCTGACAGACTGGAGAAACCCCGAGAGTATGGCCCCCAGACACCCTTTTAGCTCAGTGGTGAAGCCCTTCCTGACGTTCACTGTTCAGCCAGGGACTGGACAGCCTCATAAAACAAAACGGGACTAATGAGGCACAGCAGTCCAGGGACAAGGACTAGAAGGCAGGAGGGAACAGGAAAGCTGGTGATAGGGAACCCAAGTTTGAGAAGGGACAATGTTTACATGTCATGGGGTTGTTAACCATTGTCATAGGGCAACATGTGTACTAATTGTTTAATGAGAAACTATTTGTTCTGTAAACCTTCATCTAAGGTACAAAAAAAAAGGAAGAATTATCTATGTGAGATCAAACTGACAACAGCAACTCAAAAGGTTTGATGGGAAGCCTAGGGGGCAGTGAGTTGAAGATAGTGGTGATGGAATAATTTGGAAAAGGATAGTGAGAATAGCAGCACAACTGGAAGAATATAATTGATGTCACTGAATTGTACCTGTAGAAACTTTCGAAATGTGTAACTTTGGCTATGTATATTTTCACCAAAAAAAAGGTCCTCAAGGTCAAGAAGGGAGAGTGCTGACATGTCGTGGGGTTGTTAACCAATGTCATAAAACAATATGTGTACTGACTGTTTAATGAGAAACTATTTGTTCTGTAAACCTTCATCTAAAGTACAATAAAAAAAAATTTAGATTCCAACATTATTGCTATAATAAAGAACAAACTGAAGGAAACATTTGTGCAGTAAACTCTTTCTGTCTCTAGGATTATCACCCTGGGAGGGGGTAGCAGCGTAGAGTTACACACAGCCGTGTAACACCACGGAAGAGCGTCCCTGCCGTCGTCAGCCCTGGGACGCCAGCGTTCTCGTCAACATGCGCCAGTGCTGACAGAGAAAGAAAACGCTATTGGGTTACGTCCTCGCGTGTACTGTTTCGATCACTAGTGAGTTGATCAATTGCCTTTCTTTTGTAAACTGGCTTTTCATGTCTTTTGCCTGTTCATCTTCTGGAGCCTTACATACTCTATGGGACTAGCTTTCCTAGCAGAAAAATCTGACTCAGTAGGTACAGGAAGTAGTTTTCTTAAACCAAAAAAAATATAATCCATTGTCAAAGACCAACTCAAAGTCCATTGCCATCGAGTCGCTTCTGACTCATAGCGACCCTGCAGGACAGAGTAGAACTGCCCCATAGGGTTTCCAAGGCTATAAATCTTTGCAGAATCAGACTGCCACATCTCTCTCCCGCAGAGGAGCTGGTGGGTTTGAACTGTCCACCCTTCTGTTAGTAGTCGAGTGCTTTAGCTGCTGTGCCACTAGGGCTCCTTCCAAAAACCAGCAAGGAGAGAAATAATTTAATCCCCCTTTCACAACTGCAAAAATCAAGTGCTTAACAGGAAAACACCTGCCAATCAAATAAAGACATCGGATAAAGATAAAACATACGAAATACTTCAGATTTTTAGATAACTCTTGATCTTGAAAATTATACCATTTATGAAAAATAAACATTTCCTGAATCTTACCTGAAGCATAACAACTTTGTCACCTTCAAAAGTTACAAGCACATCTGTGTCACACTTTAAGCCTGAGATTCGATTTTCCATCATGTAACCCTACTGCAGAAAAAAAAAGAAAATAAACACGTTAAATTTGCAATTCCATCATTACACAAGATTAACTTTTTTAAATAAAATATACAGAATATTAAAAGAAGAAAACAACCATATCTCTGGTATGCAGAATAACACTAAGGATGCTGATGCATTGTATCAGCTTTTAGTCTTCTGTATACAGATTATTTGGGGGTATTGACCTCACTGGTAGTAAACACATTTGAAAATAGTTATGTCACATTTTTCCAAGTATTTCAACAAAGTATGCTAATTTTTCTCTCTCTCTCTTCCAAATCTTATAAATTCCAGCAAATGTCAAGTTATTAATGATTACACCCTATCACACGCAGGGGACTGGTGTCTCCCACCCTTCCAAAAATTAGCTAACATAGCTATCATTTACGGGAGGCAGCATAAAAACCTTAAATTACCACTCCGCATCTCAATATCATTAAATACTATGCATCATAAAGTCACACTGCAGCTAGTTTTTTTTTAACTTCCTGAAATCCTTATCTCAATGGCAGTACTCTGCTGCTCACTTTCAAAGTATAAATAGCGAATGTGCGCACAGACTGGGGAATCAGCGCCCTAGAGAACACAGGTCCAGCCCCAGGCAAAATGTGAAGGAAGCAGAACTTGTCTTTGTTTAGCCTGTGGCCCCTTCCTCTCCTGAAAGTTTCTGCACTCTCCTCCCACCCAGCTCGTGCTCCCTCCACCCCCATTAAATCTCCAAAATCTTTCCCACTATCAAAATCTGGTTTCACAAATCAGTCCTAAAAAAGATATCTGAGAGACTGGTGTTATGTTACTGCTCCCAGGAGTATTTGCATTTAACGTTTGCATTAAGGATACATTTGCATTAGCACAAGATTTATCCCGTTAAAATTTTCAAGCATCGTGGGATATGGAGGGTCCCAGAAGGGTGCTCTCGCCTGGCAGTCACACACACAAGTCTCCCCATACCCTGAATGAATGCTTCGGAAGATGTGCCTCATTTCTGAAGATGGCCATGTGAGTCACAGAAGTCAGGGCTCCTGGGGTCCTGCTCCTTGTCTCCAGTATCAGCTGCCATCAAGTCGATTCCGACTCACGGCCACCCTATAGGACAGGACAGAACTGCCCCACAGTGTTTCCAAGGAGCAGCTGGTGGATTCATACTGCTGACCTTTTGGTTGGCAGCCGAGCTCTTAACCACTATGCCACCAGGGCTCCACAGAGTTTTTAATGGCTGATTTTTTGGAAGTAGATTGCCAGGCCTTTCTTCTGAGGCACCTCTGGGTAGACTGGAGCCTCCAACCTTCCAGTTAGCAGCAGAATGCATTAACCTTTGGAGCCACGCAGAGACTCCCCTGCTGCCTGCAGAGCCCTGTAAACCTGTGAGTACCAGCCCACTGCCTGCTGGGAGGCCAGGCCTCCTCCATCAGGCCCACCCTCCCTGTGTCTCTCAGCATCGGGGCAGTCCCAGCAGGTAAGAGTGGACAGTGTTAGCATCACAAGTTTACAGAAGCAAAGGAGTCTCCAGGAGGCTATAGAAATCCTTAATTAACAAGTTTAAACTGATTTTATTTATTGATAAATAGATCAGTAACAGAGTCCTGGTGGCGCAGTGGTTAAGAGCTCAGCTGCTAACCAAAAGGTCAGCAGTTTGAATCCACCAGCCACTCCTTGGAAACGCCTACAGGGCAGTTCTACTTTGTCCTATAGGGTCGCTGTGAGTCGGAATCAACTCGACCGCAACGGGTTTAAATCAGTAATATTTCCATGCTAGAGAAGTTCAGCCCTTCTTACGACCTCAGGTTAAACCCACCTCAGAGACAAACCACATGAAATCACGTTCTTACTGAATGCAATCACGTCTCACGGCGCTTCCCCACCCAAGGGCAGGGGTGACTCATTTGAATCATCACAGTTCTACCATTTAGTCCGACCCACTGCGAGCCACACGCTGTGCTGGGTGCTTTTATGTAAGCTTCATTTATTTCTCTTAATCCTTTTAGCTGTCACAGCAACTCTGTGGGATGGGCATCAAAACCCACTGCCCTCGGGTCGATTCCGACTCATAGTGACCCCAGAGGACAGAGCAGAGCTGCCCCACAGGGTTTCCAAGGAGCAGCTGGTGGATTCGAACTGCCGACCTTTTGGTTAGCAGCTGAGCTCTTAACCACTGCGCCACCAGGGCTCCAGGACGGGCATTATCACTCCCACTTTACAGATGACGAAAGCGAGTCTCAGAATGTTCTGGAATAATCTCTCAATGTTGAGTGTGGAAAAAGATTAACAAACACTAAATATTCAAACTCAGTGTTGAGAAGAAGCAGTTATATCTAAGACGCATAAATGCTAAATGCTCAAAATAAAAAATTTGGACAAGCAACGTACTTTTTCCCTAAGCAGGTTTGTGGTTCAGTTTGCTCTGGTCTACCTCAGTGGGGGTGGGGGTAAAAGGCTCCTGGTTGTTCCCTGACACTTTTGATCTTGTTCACACCCTAACCCTGGAAATGAGGTGACCAATAATCTACTCAAAGGGCAGCTGATTAGCAAACAAACGCCAACTGTCTCTCCGAGAACAGACAATACAGTCCTGTGAACACAAAGATTTTTTATCCTGTGTTGGTTATTCTCTCCTTGGCGGGGAAGCTGTACTGCCAGGTTGAGGGTCTGGTAAACTGCGTGACTGTCCTCCTGGGGATCCTAGCCTCTTCAAGGCGCGGACAGAGCTGCAGTATCTCAGTCCTCACGGCACGTTCAGAGGCAGAAAACAAAACAGCAAAGAGAAAATCCAGAGTCAAACATGGGTGACAAAGCCGGTGTGGTCATCACATCACTCAACCAAGGGCTTCTTTAGGATCCAGTTCCTGAGCAGAGAGAAGGCTCAGCCTCACTGAGACTAACCGAGTTCACGTGGTTTAGGCACTCTGCTCTGCGTGAGTGTACAGCGTCTGAGAGTTTAGAGAGATGTGTCATGCGGAGAAGCTACTTAATGGGAACTTACAGTTGTGCTCTTCAGGGATTTAAATTCCAAACTCGGGGCCCCTAATTCGATCCCTTGAGGCACTGGTGGTTCACCGGTAGAATTCTCGCCTTCTCTGCGGAAGACCTGGGCTCCACTCCCGACCAATGCATCTCATGTGCGGCCACCACCCATCAGTGGAAGCTTGTGTGTTGCTATGATGCTGAAGAGGTTTCAGTGGAGCTTCTAGACTAAGACAGACTAAGAAGAAAGGCCTGGCGACCTACTTCTAAAAATCGGCCCATGAAAACCCTACAGATCACAGCAGTCTGGTCCGCAGCCCATCATGGGGAGGGAGCAGGGCCACCATGAGTCAGGGACTGATTCAATGGCAGCTAACAACAGCAATTCTTCCCTGGGCGGCACAAGAGGTTAACCTGCCGACTGCTAACCAAAAAGGTGGAAGTTTGAGTCCATCCAGAAAGACCTGGCAATCTACTTCTGAAAATCAGCCACTGAAAACCCTGTGGAGCACAGTTTTACTCTGACACATATGGGACCATCAGGAGTGAGAGTCGACTGGACAGCAACCGGTTTATTCTTTGGGAACAAATGATATAAACAATTTGTACGCGTGTGTCATTTTTTAATTAAAAATGACCTTTTTGTTTTTTATTAATTACTAAAAGTAACATATAAGCATTGTAAAAGAAAACAAAAACCAGAAAACAGAGAAAAACAAAAGAAAAAAATAAGGAAATATCGTCCATAATAGACGACCCATAATGGGAGACAGACAGTTGCCTGAGGAAAAAAGACCCTAAGACAAAGCTTTGGCACAGGAGCTGGGGGTCAAGGGGAGGGAGGGAGGTGTGGGACAGGCAGGAGGAGGCCCAGAAACCAACAACAGAGCAAGTCTGGGAGAAGAGCATCATGGAGAGTTCTGGCAGGGCAGGAAGGGGACTGAGCACGGAAGTACAGCGGGCTGTGAGGGAAGGAGGGACTCGGAAAGCCACAACCAGGGCAGGAAGAAGGGAGAAAAGGAAGACGCTGGGTTTGGGGGGAAAGGGAAATAGAGTCAGTTTGTAGTGACCCACAGCAGCCGCCGTGGACAGCTAGACCGCCCTGTGCTCCACAGCCCAAGACTCCCTCCTCATCAGGTCAAGGCCTTACACCACTGTCACAGACGCCATGACTGGGGACCAAGTCTGTGTTACGTCTGAGATATCACTTCTCTTCTTCACGGCAACAGGAGAAAGCTGCGGTTTAGTGAAATTTCCTTGCTCTGCCCCTCCTTGAATGTTCCCTCTGCCTGGAACACTCCCCCAACTCAGTGGGGCTCACTCCCGTATCTGTCAGAGCTTCCCACCCAGGGAGGCTGTTCCTGACCCCTCTGAGTAAACGGCTGCCCCACCTGCCCCATCACTCTCTATCCATTTGTCTGTACTTACTTTTCTCTGCAAAACATACCATGCGGTCATAACTATGTATCAGTCATATAACCTGCTTACTTGTGCAGTTGTTCACCCTTTCTGCCCCTCCGGACTGTACACTCTACAAGGACACAGACTTTATCTAGTTGCCTGCAGTCTCCCCAGCACAGTGTGGAGGAGCACAGTGTGGCGTCTGCTGACCCACCAAGTGGGATCACTTGCTGGCAAATGGTTAAACAGGGTTGAACCCAGAGCCATCCAGCTCGAATGCCTGCATGCTTCCTTCTCTTCTACAGGGAGGATGGATGGCCGGACAGACACGTGGATGTGTGGATGGACGGAGAGGTGAGAAGACAAACATGCAGACACACTTTACGTGTCTGGACCTGACCAGCCCTGTCCTGGGTTGAGCTCCACAGAGCGGGAGCCCAGCTGGGCAGAGGGGCAAGGCTGGTTGCATTCCACGAGCCAAGGCAGAAGTTCAGAGGCAGCAGAGACAGAATGTAACGTGGAGCCCTACGGCCAGGGGCAGGGAAAGGCCAGGGTCTCTGGTCAATGCTGGGCATCAGGGAGAGGCAGGAGTGGCATGAGGGGCTCTGGAATGAGGTGGGGGC